TGGGGAGGACGCCCATAAACCCCGGGGGTACCTTTCACCCAAGAGTTGAATTCTTTTCCCCCTGTTTTTTTGTTATTGAATCGTCGCCGGCTGGGGGCTGGGCTTTTTTTGTTCCCACACCAGCCCCCTTGGGGGTCAACGGCCCCGCCCCCCCCCCCGCCCATGTGGCGCGATGATTTCTTTTCCTTGTTCTTTTGTGTTTTGTTCTTTTTTTCTCGTATTCTATGTTCTTTCTTTTCCCGCCTCCCTACCCCTCTCTTGTCTTTTTTCTTCTCACTGTTTCTTTGCTGTACTGTGTGCATCTCTGTGTCCAGTCCGGGCCTGGCTGTTCTTCACCTTCGATACATACATACATCTCTCTCTTTGTCGTCGTCGTTGTTGTTGGTTGTTGGTTGTGTACGAAGGGAGAGGGGGAGGAGGGAGGGAGGGAGGAGGGAGGGAGACGGATTGGCCTGTATGAGCTTGAGCACTTGAGCACTGGATAGGGTCGGTTCCGCATGGTACGGGACCCCTCGATCGTCTCGCCCTCCCTCACTGGTGTGTTCATTGGGGGGGGTCATAACAAACACGGTGCAGGATCGATTGCCAGAATTTGTGATCGACACATCTGCGACGGTGGCTTAAAGTGAATGATACCCCGTCGCAGCCTCCCTCCGCCCTCACCGCACACCGGGCTCATCGGCTCGACGAGGGCGGGGAAATTGACGAGCTTGTGTTCCGACCCAACCCTGAGCTTCTCTAGAGCGCAGCCGCTCCGGACGAGGAGCGATTAGACGGGGGGAGAGGGCGCTTGTGTCTCTAGTATTTCGAGAGACTAATTTATTCACAGCTGCGAGCGTGTGCGGTGTGACCCACACGAGCCAACCTCGAGAGCCAACCGTCCTCCCCCTCGGTCTGCGCTCCGACCGACCGGACCCCCCCTCCGGTCTGCGGTCTTCCGCGGCCGCGTCGACCGGACCCCCCCTGCGGTCGGTCGGTCTGCGCTGGGCGCTCCAACCACGAAGTCGGCCTGATCACTACATGATGACGCTCGTATTGGAACTTGGATGCGCATTGCGGGAAGTGCAGGCCGGTCTATCGTAATATATGGTGTAATATATCCGTCACAGAGATCTCCCAACATCTATCGCCATGCATCTGAATTTACATCTCTCTCATCTGACTGAGGGCGATAAATATCCAACGCGAGATCATGTCAAATTCGCGAACCTCGGGGACCGATTGTCGGTGGCACGAGTGGAGCCCGCATTTTCCTGCCCTGCTTGCCCATCCTCCATCGCTTACAGCAGGGCCCTCTCTGTCGGCGGCTTGGGGAGGCACTGGCGGTACCACAGCAGACAGCGAGTCCGGGTCGCACGAGATCGCGTTCGGGTAGCGCCCACGGCTTCTCTCGATGCTCCGGTTGATCGCGCAGGGCTTAGCCCTGCGCGATGGCGCGGCGAGAGAAGCCGTGGGCGCTGCCAAAGAGCGGGGTGTGGAACTGGCGCCCAAAGAGGGCCTGCCCTTGCTCGCCGAGCGAGTCGATGGAGAGGCTGTGCCACCCCACCTGCTGCTGGACGGTGTCGCGCCGCGCGCAGCCGCGGCAGAGCTTGAAGGCGACAGCGCCGGACCCCGACTTGCGCACGCCAAACGGGGCGGTAGCGCAGAGGCAGACGGCGCATGAGCGCGAGCGCAGCATCTTTCGCCAGCCGTTTGGGGTGGAAGCGAAGCGGCGCGTGAGACGCCAGCCGCGCTCGAGGCACTCTCCGCGCAGCCGCACCTCGGCAAGCTCCGCGAGGCGGTGGCTGAGCGGGACGGCGCAGAGGAGCAGCGCGGGGAGCGACAAGTGGCTCAGAACCTGGAGGAGGCAGTCCTCGCCGAGCATGTCTAGCGGTGCAGACCCAGCAGCGATCGGCGTCGCTTCCTCGCCGGCAGCTTGCGCCGCCGTGGCGGCCTCTGCGAGGGCCGCGAGCGAAGACAGCGGGGAAGCGGCGGCGGAGGGGCGTGGGGCGCAGCGGGGGCATGCGTAGCGCCGAAAGGCCGCTGCGGTGCCGGCCTCGACCGTAGGGACGGCGATGCCGACGCAT